ATTAATTTATAGTACATTAATTGTACAATAATCGTACATTAATTGTACAATAATCGTACATTGATTGTACAATAATAGTACATTAATTGTACTGTTTTGATGTTTTTAAAACAAATTACTTTGGTGTTGTGCTTAACACCAAAGTAATATATTTAGCTATGTATGTGGATATTTTATTGGCTAAAAGTAGGTATTACATAAGATTGTAAACCGTACCATATCATGAATACAAAATATATTTGAACCCCCCATTGGTAATTGCGACATACCATGGGTCCCTAATGTGATATGAGAAGCTTACCGAACTACTCTAGCAGAGAGGCTAAAAGTTAGAAGAAAGGCAATGATTTTTGTCATTGCCAGAGTATAACAATTACTTCTAATTTTTTATGATTGATATTACAAAGTACAAAAAAAAATCTAATGGCAGACAAGCTCCAGGCATACTGTCATCTACTCCTGTTCCACATGATAACAGACTACCAACACCATAACCAACATAAAATTTAACTATACTTCTCATCATACTCTCCAAAAGTCACTTAATTTAATTAAAGTATTTTTGATGAATTTATTTTTTAATGAGGTTTTGAACACAACTATTTTTTATTTCTATGTTAAAATTACAATATATTTTTTTAAATTTATTTACGAAGGAAGATGTCATGAGTAGTTTATCTGAAGAGTCAGCAAGTAACATTTGTTAAAACATTGATGAAACTTTTGTACTAATAACAACTTTTCAACCTCACTTTCCGAATCAGAGTAAGTTAGATGATCAGAGATTTATGTCTTCCTACATCTGGAGCTTAACTTTCTGATGATGGAATGCTGATGGAATGGAATCTTCAAAGCAAAAACTGCAGAACATTTGTACACTAGAAATGGCAAAAAGAAATTGAAATTTTCTATAACTCGTGTTATAGAAAATTTCAATTTCTTTTTGCCATTTCTATGTTATGATGACTATTCATAAATAGCTCAAAACGGCAAACAGCAATAGAAACTGCTAATAGATAGCCTATAACGGAGTTTCAAAGCAGTTTTGCTCAACAATTGAAAAAATTATTCCTTTTTAACAATTAAACACTCAATACATAAAAAAAGAAAACTACAATTATGTTAGCGAGTTTCTTGATAAAACTAAATATTCTGAATTTAAGTGGGATGTTTGTGCTAATTTTAAGATGCTTTTTTGCTTGGTTTACAGGGAGAATTCACAAAGTATTCATGTTTCTTTTGTTTGTGGGAACAGGGCTGATAACGATCATTACAAGAAGTTAACAACAATTGGAGTTACAGTCACGATAGTTCAATGTTTTATAAGCGGCCTCTGGTAGATTGCAACAAAGCTTTATTACCCCCCATTACATCTGGTAAAATAGTTTATAAAAACCTTCAATTATAGAGTAATAGCTTTACAAAAAATCCTTCTCAAGTTTCCAAAGCTAACTATTTTAATTTAGGTGTTCACATAAACTCGAACTTATTATTTTCAAAATACATAACTATTCAAGTCAACAAAGCAACAAATATATTGGTTCTGATAAAAAGATCATTTTTATCTCATCTAAATCTCATTTAAACTATTTTTAGCTCTAATCCTTCCCCATTTATTATATTGTTGATCAATCTGTTCCCCGGAGCTTTTCTAGATAAACATCAAGCGGAAAACTTATTAAGAAGATTTTCTAAACAAATTAGAGGCTTTAAATGATCTCGCGAATGAACAAAGACTATTGACGCTAAATATACGTGTAAAATACAGTCTAAATTCTGGCGATCTAGTTAATGTCTTTAAATAACGTAATAATAATTATAATAAAAATTTCTTTGAAATCGATAAACAATTTATTATCCATAGTGTATTTTAAAACCAAAAAAGAATTCCTCCCGCATAAGTATGCGCACAAACCTTTTTTTCTATGACAATAATTAAAGAAATGGAACTCTCTTCCTTATAATGTTGTAAAGGAACCTTAACTAAAAATGTTTAAAATGCGTTTTTGACAACCATCTCAAAAACGAATGGTTTCTCTTTGACTGATATGCATTTCATGTTATATATTAGTTAATATAAAAACTAATGTAGTTAAACTTTATATATGACCAGGTTGACAGGTATTATACGTCTATACAATTTTTTTTTGTAAAACTTTAAAAAATATCTAAATCTGGTTTATTATGAAAGAAAAAATATGTAAAATAAACTCTAACAACATTTATAAAAACTAAATACGTTCAAAAATACTCATAATAAAATAGAGTTTAAGCAAAAATAAATTTCTTAAATATAACAAACACTTTGTAAATATTGGTCCTAAACTTGCTTCTAAATTACAATGTAAAAATAATCCAATTAAAAGTTACACTAAACACTTTTATGTCTCCTAAGGATTAAAAAAACTTTAATAAAAAAAAATGGAAATAGCTAAAAAAATACTTTTAAAAAAATCTCTGCAAACGATGTTTTGAATGTTTTTTCCGGAATTTATTAAACTATCTTTTAAATATTAATAACTTATCGAGTATTACAGAAATTGCACCTGATAAGTTAAAAATAGTTAAAATTGTACCATTTTATAAATCTGGTAAAACTTTCTTATCTGATAACAGACCAATACCAGTCCTTACTATGTTATCAAAACTTCTAGAACAAATAATCCTCAATCATTTATTTAAATACTTAGTTACAGACTAAAATCCTGAATAAAAACTAATACGGTTTCTATACGCACCACTTAACAGACCATGCTACTATTAAACTCACCGACAGGATTAGTGAATAGATTATTGGAAAAAATATTATATTGATAATCTTTATAGACTTTATGAAAACTAATTTACGCATGGTTAATGGTGAATGGTTACCAAGTTATTCATAATAATAAATGAAACAGAAACTTAATAAAATCACATGGAGGAGGGATTGTTATCTATATATAAGAAAGTTTCGCAGTTCATTCAATTATATTATTACTGTAGAACATTACCTAGAACCGACTTAGTGTATCTTAAGTTATTTATCGGTCACCTAATGCGGACGGGTAGAGACAAATAACTATATCTGTAATAAAATAATAGAAGCAACAAAAAATAAAATAGATCAAAATAGATTCATTTTGTTCATTCAGAAGATTGTACTTATCTCATTAATATATGGGGAGAAAATAATTTTTAAACCATGAAAAATATGATAAACAGTCAATCAAATGTGTTGAATATATAAATGACAATTAAAAAGTAAAACATCAAGCAGTTATATAACTAACTATTATAGATTTAAATAGAAGTTTAATGTTTGAGATTAAATTTTGAGCAAAATACCAAAACTCAGAAATAAAATCGACCAAAATCCAGCTTTAGGTAACACTTAAAAGCGAACTTAGTTGGGACTAGTCTGTCAAAAGCACTTCAAACACTGTGTCAAATCAAGGAAAATCTAGCAAATTACAAAGTCAAAAAAAGCGTCATTAATAAAAATGATTGGCAAGGTCAATTGTTCCTAAATATTTATAATGATTTATGTCACAAACAAGCATCTATAAAAAACATATATAATAATCAAAAAAAGTACAAATCAAACCATGAGTTGATAAAAAAATAAAAAAAGCAAGTAGAGATAAAACAAGTTTATAGCATAAACTATTATCTAATGGTTCTAAATGTAATCAGTTGAAAATCAAAAAATGTCAAAAAAGTTTTTACAAACCTCTATTGTTTAAAAGATCCTTAAAAGAAGAAAAAATTCTGCTAAAACAGAAATTTTAACACCACTATATAAAAAAGGTGACAAAAATGATCCAGAAAGTTTTTGACCTAACTCAATACTTTTTTTTATTTATTTTTTATTTTTATTCATTAATTTAGCCGTACAAGTATTTACATGCAGAAGCGATTTTATTAGGGTGGGGGTGCTACACTCCCCCCTCCCCTCCCCCGAAAAAAGCAATTTTTAAGTTATAGTCGGTATTTTCACGAATTTAGTCAGCTAGTCATAATTCAGTCGATTAAATTTTCGTTATGAGGAGTTTTTTTTTTTTTAGAAGTCAGTCGGTACTTTCTAAGGATTCACCCCCTCCCCCTCTTTTTATTAGTAGAATTGTCTCTGTTTGCATGTTCTGTGTTTTATAATCTATATAAAGATGGCAAGGACGAGAAGAAGACAAGCTTGTCTTATCACCAAGTCCCTTGTTTTTTCTAGACATTTATGTAAATACGTTTTAACTAAAATTAAAAACGAGAGAAAAGAGCGAAATGTTTTAAAGCGGTTGCATAAATTTTAAAAAGGTTATATAAAGTGCAAAATATTTTAATAGTCTTTAAAAGTTTTTTTAACAAAGGTTAAGGTACTAATTTTATCACAACAACAAGAAGGTTAACTTGCGGTTATGCAAAACTATAAATATTCAAATTTTAAAGTTATTTATTAAAAGAAAATTTTAAAAATTCATTCAAGAAAAAAAAAAGAAAAAAAGAAAACATAAAAGTTAATTTACAATCATAAGATATTATATATATATATATATATATATATATATATATATATATATATATATATATATATATATATATATATATATATATATATATATATATATATATATATATATATATATATATATATATATATATATATATATATATTTATATATATATATATATATATATATATATATATATAAATATATATATATATATATATATATATATATATATATATATATATATATATATATATATATATATATATATATATATATATACATATATATATATCAAAAATAATAAAAATTCAAAGAGGATTACTTTTTTTTCTCTCATTTAATAAAAAGATTAAATAAAATTTAACCTCAATATCATCCATTTAGATTAATTAATATTAAGTGCAAAACTCTCGAATCTTAAGGGACTCGAGGGTTTTAAGGTCAGTTTCCACTCGTCCGTTTTTCCAAGGGAACGGGAAAGAAATGGGAAAGTTAATCACGTGAGCATGCGCAGTTTGTGATTTAATTTTTCCGTGGCTTAGTTTTTCCCATTATATCGGTTTATGGAAAAAGTAGACTTCAAATCAACTTTTTGCCGAGAAAAATCAAATAGCAAAACAAGCAGGCAATCGCATTGCTACAATTTTTGAAAAATGAAAACAAGAGTTGGAAAAGTTGCTAGAGAATTGTAATTTTTTCGGAAACGATAATTTCGTTGTAAACATTTATTAGTCTATAATTATGCCTGTAATATATTAAATTTTTTACGCATATATTTTTAGTGGCATACTATGACGCAAAATGAAAATCATTGAGATATTTATTTACTTACAATTGCAATTTAATGTCAGTTTTACTGCTATTTTAAACTGTATAAATATCCAAATAATGTTAACATTAAACCTAAAGTACACTGACCAATAAACAATATTGAATATTAAAAATCTAATTTAATGATGACCGAATTGAACGTGGATTTTTCAAGAATGTCACAATATGTTCCAACAAACAAGAACTAGGAGGCTCATTTAATAGAAGAAGTGAGAAGGTTTCCGTGTTTATGGGATACAACAACTCGCGCATATAAGGAAACGCCTTTAAAAGTTGAAGCGTGGAGGCAGATATCTACTTTATTAAATGTAGACGGTGAGCTATTTATTTTGTCAAGTAAATTTTATCAAAAATATGTCTAAATATTAAAATAACCTATTATACATAATATAACATGATAACCGTAAGCTTATTTTATTGTGTTTCTTTTTAACAGAAAAAACTCTGACTTCAGCATGGACAAAGCTGAGAGAAAATTTTCGTAGATGCCTAAACCGACAAAAAAAGGCTACCATGTCTGGAGCTGGCGGGGATCAACAACCATCATGCCAGTTCTTCACAGAATTATTGTTTTTGAAAGATGTGATTGGGGTAAAATTGACAAGTACAAACATAAAATGCGATATTTTTGCAACACCGCTTTCAGTTGAACACAGAGAACTTGAAAATAAAGACAATTCGATAAAAGCATCAAGTTCAAGAAATTATTTGACTTTAACAGAAAACGAAACAACTGTACATTCAATTTCATCCCCACAGACGAATATATCGACGCCAAATCATATGAAAAAAAAAATGAAAATTGATCCATTACAAGTTGCCCTTAAAAAGGCCATATTGCTTGATGTGGAGCAAAATAAAGTGATAGAAATTAATAATAATGACCCAGATGGGCTATTCTGTAAAAGTTTAGTGAGCTCTTTTCAAAACCTTTCAAAAAAGAAAAACAAAATAGCAAAAATAAAAGTTTCGGAAATCCTCCTGGAAATGGAAAGTGACAAAGAATAAAAATGTATAGTATTATTATAGTATTATATATGTATGTATACATATATATATATATATATATATATATATATATATATATATATATATATATATATATATATATATATATATATATATATATATATATATATATATATATATATATATATATATATATATATATATATATATATATATATATATATATATATATATATATATATATATATATGTACATATATGTAAAAAGAAAAGAAACTTTATTCTTGATCAAACATATTTTGAGTACGAGTAACCATATCATATTGCCATGGAACCTGTCCTTGAGGAGAACTAAAAAAGTCTCGAAATAATTCCCTGACTGTTTTTGCATCGCGAGTATAATTATTTGAGCCTAATTGTTTTTGTAAATTAGTTAATCCTTGGTAATCCGAAATATTACTTCGCCATTCTCCAGCTTGCAAACCAGAGGATGTTTCATAATCTACAAATTTTGAAGGGCAATATTGATTTAACGGTTCAAACTGACGACCATGCATAAGGTAGTTATGAAGAGCAGTTGCTGCTTTAGTAACATTAATAACAACTTCTTCTTTTGCAATAATTGGTTTACGAATAATTCTGCACCGTGCTGCCAAAATCTCAAAAGTATTTTCTATTACTCTGCGTGCTCGTGACAATCTGCGTGCTCGTGACAAAAGAATATATAATTATATATTCTTTCCTTCAAAGATAATATTTCTCTAGGGTATGGCTTCATAAGATATTTCTTGAGAGGAAATGCCTCGTCTCCAATGAGAACATAAGGCAGTTTTATACTTGAACCAGATGGTTCATTGGGTTCTGGGATATGTAATAGTTTTGTTTCAAAAGCAATTCCCATATTACTGTTTCCAAATACACCACCATCACTGTTCCTACCAGTATCACCAATGTCTACAAGAGTGAATTCATAGATTGCATTGCAAACAGCCATCAAAACAATAGAATGCTTTTTTTTATAGTTAAAGTAGAAAGAGCCTGATCTTGAGGAGGCTTGCATAACTATATGTTTCCCATCTATAGCCCTATACAATTAGAGAAGTTCCATTTCCTTTTAAACTCATTTGCTATAAATTTCCATTCATTTTCACTTTTTGGGTAGCTAATATATTCTTTAGATAACAAAATAGTCCATATAGCAATAGAGGTTTCGTTAATAATTCTTCCTATCGAAGTCGGACTTATTCGAAACATACCAGCTAGATCTATTTGCGAAGTGCCTCCAAATATGTATCTCAAAGTGACCATTAATCGTTCACTAGCTTTAATTGTTTCACGCCTGAGGGAAGATTTTGTTATCACCGGTGCGATTAGACTTAAAAATTGCTCATACTTTGAAGGTGTCATTGTAAAAAACTTAAAAAAATATTCGTGATCGAAAAGTTGCATATCTTTTATAAATAAACTGAATGCTCCTTTTGATTTTCTCTCTCTAAATAATTTTCTGACCCACATCCGCTTTTTATACTTTTGTCTTTTTTTGATTTTTAAATAATATAGTAATAACATATATAAAGTTTTTTTGCTAAGGATCGATAAAACCGCCATTTTTATTAATTTGCTACCATTTTTTAAAATTTTACGAGTACAAGTGGAAATGGATATATCCCATCCGATCTGTCCGAAATCTTGTTTTTATCCCATCCCTTTCCCGTTCCCTTGGAAAAACGGACGAGTGGAAACTGACCTTTACTCTTGTTATTAACATTTAATCCATTATTTTTTAACTTTAAAGTGAAAATTTTATGGGTTGCAAGTTAATAAAGAAGTTGTTAAACAGTAACCAACACAGTTTTTGAAAAGAAAAAAAAGTATACCACAAATCTCGACGAAATACAAAATATTTTGTTTAGTTCTATTGAGAATGGCTGGTGCGTCAATATTTAGTATACAGATTTCGCAAAAGCATTTGATAAAGAACCTCATATGTACTTGATAATAAAATTGAATCATATGGTTTGAATCATATAAAATTGAATCATATAATGAGTGAATCATATGGTATTATTGGAGTAATACTTTGATTTATTTAAGTAGGATTGTAACCTACTTAAATAACAGAAAACTTGCTAAACAGAAATTTAAGTATTTTGATTTAAATATGGAAAATCATCTACAACTTTGTAAGATTATATTTTTAGTTGACAATCCAAGCATGGTTTCCCTATTTGAAACAAGATATCACAAAGTTATAAATATGCAATAAAAAGCCACAAAATTAGTACCAGCTTTGAAGCAAATGCCTTATAAATAAAGATTAAGTATAATCAGTAACGGACTAGGTTTATAAAATCTATTGGAAAAACTTTTGAAGAGGGGTCCTGGGTTCCTCAATGCATTAAATTTTACACACAAATGATAAAATGAGGGTTACTGCTATCCATTTTTCATTTCTAGGCAACAGTTGTGCAAAAATCGGGTAGTTATTCCATTTTAAATGACAAGAAAACTTGTAAAGAAAACTGCAAAGCAATAACCGCAAGTTGTGTCACATCAATAGCAAGTTGTGTCACATCAATTTCAGAGAAAACTAATGAGTCTTCTATAAAAAATGGGATAACTTCTTTCTCATTGATATCAAGTAAGTTATTTTCAACACCCATCAGGATGAATATTTTAAAATGATCATTGTAGAATGTTGATTATTTTAAAATGATCATCATATAATGTTGATATATAGATTATGTATAATACTGCATGTTCATGAAGTGAATAATGATAAAAGTGAGTTGTTTTAACTGTTAAGTTGAACAGTTAAATTGTTTCTATAAACAATTTAACTGTTAAATTATTTATTGAATTATTTAAAATAAAATGTGGAAACTTTACAACAGTGTTTCCACATCAGTTTCAAGTTTCGACACCAGTGTTAACAATAGTTTTTCCACAACAGTGTTAATTCCCTTAAAAAAAAAGATCAAAACCATATTAGATTGTTTAAGAACAGCTAAAGTACTTGGGGAGGGGGGAGGAACTAGAATGCATTTGATGGATTTAAAAGGATCTCAAAACACAAATTTCAAAAAAATTACAGAATAAATAAAGTTTTTGGAATGATTCAAAATGTTTAAGTTAATAAAGTAATTTTGAATAGTAAACAATTTTTTTAGCATTTGAAAACTTCACGATGGCTAAAAAAGTGCAAAAGGGACCAGAAATAAGGTCTGAGATATACAAAAGTTTGAAATATCAAGTAATTCAGATATCAAGAATCAACTGTATATATATACAGAAAGTTAGTCGGATTGCTCACAATATCTATAAATTTTTGTACATTTTAGTGTAAGTAAAATAATATCAGCAAGCAATACTTGCCAAAAATATTTAATAAATGAAGAGTGTCTTGAATGACATGTGTCTTATGTGATGACAGCAGTCTAGTTTTGATTATTTTCAGTGCGCTGAAAGCATTTTCACAGCCATTTTTTAAATAACCAAAAAGGTAAATAAAAAAATCTAAGCAAGGGACAAATCAGAATATATTAAAGCCGGCAATCGATATTTGCGAAGAATTCTGAAACTGCTTAGCAGACAAGTTTTATAGGCTGTTGTCTTTTTGCGTTCTACTTCTGTATCAACCAAAAAGGCCAGTGAATTAAATAAATTAAATTTTTAATAAAACAATTTTTTTTTTCAAACATTTTCTAGGATTAAAGCAGACAGTGTCAATGATAAGCCAGTCATTTGATGAAAACTGGCGCTAGAAATTATCTGATCAGTAATACTGTTAAAAACCTCTAAAAATATGCATCTATTTTTCTATGCATTTTTTTTCCATGCAGTATTAGTTTCACACAATTGGCCGCATAATGTTACCATAAGATTGCTTTGAAACATTATCTCATTTACTTTTTTTATAAATATTGGGTTGGGGAATATGTTCGTTCGGTATTTTTTAAAAAGGATTATTCAAAGAATTAGTTTGTTGTTGAGCTAAGTGTTTGTATTCATTAGACAGTGCCTTTTCTGTTCTACAGAACTGCGCTCTTTGTTTTTTCAAATATTTTTAGTTTTTCCTATTTTCCACCCTTAGAAATACAATGCCCAGGTGGCAAAAGTTAGCAATTTTTTTTACATATGCAACTTGTATGGAGGAGGTATCATAGGTGAGCGCGCAGCACAGAAATGGTTTGCGAAGTTCAAATACGGCAACTTTGACTTTGAATAAATGCCTCGCAGCGGACGACCCGCTGAATTTGATGAAGAGCATATCAAGGTAATTTTGAAGGAAGATGGTTGCCAAACAAGTCGTGAATTTGCCAAAAAAATAAATTGTGATCATAAAACGATCATCAATCATCTTCAATCATGTGATTTGTTGAAAAACTTGGAGCCTGGGTGCCACACAAGCTTAACAAAGTCAACAAAGAAAAATATCTTCAAATCGCTGCTCAGCACCTTGTGCGCCATTGTGCAACACGCGGCGATAAACAGTGCTTTTTGTATAGAATTATCACGGGAGATGCGAAGTGGTGCCTGTACGTCAATATGAAACAAAGAATGAAGTGGATGGCTCCAGGAGACACGCCGACACCGAGAATCAAGCAATATCTCCACCCAAAAAAGACCATGATCTGCGTTTGGTGGGACTGGTAAAACATGATACACTGGGAAATATTTGAAAGAAAAGCAACGGTCAACAAGAAACTCTATATTGGTCAAGAAATGAGAGGAGGTTGTAAACAATAACGGCGAATACATAATTGATAAATTTATTGTTATAATTATCGTTTTTTGTTTAAAGTAAGCTCTTTGAAAAAAACAGAACGAATTTATTCCCCAACCCAATAGTTTTGTATTATTGTAAACCTCGTCAAATTTAATGGCTTGCAATAGTTCTTTGGCTGTCTGTATCATTTTCTAAGCACTCAAATAATCAATGTTTTTAGTCTTCAAGTACTCTGAAGCAGATTGCAGAATACTGAAAACTCAAAGCAGCAGAGAGCTGTTTAGAAAAGACTCGAATTTACACCATTTTTCAAGGAGCACGTATGCACCAAGTTTTGCTTAGTAATCAAGGTTTTGGGAGTTTTTGGTTTGGTTTAACACAGATATGAAAACATGGAAAGATTCAGGTTGAGAACTTTTGTTTGTTACAGAACAGTTTTTCTAGAACTATCTGTTTTAATCACCACTAAATTTATGTGTTTGCAATAATTAGAAAAGAAGTTTAAATATTCTTTATAAAAGTCCGATTAGGTTCTTGATTGCAATAATATTTTTAACAATGTTGGTTGCACCCAGGTTTAAGACATGGTTTAAGACTAGATGTCCACTGGATTGAGAGCTGTATCTTGAAAAGGAATAAGAGAAAATTACCATTTTAACCTCTTTCATTAAAAAGTTCTTATACTCCCATTGTATGAGTCTTTGATATCTCATGTTTTTCTTGTTTTTCATGTTTTTTATGTTTTCTTCGATAGACATCTGAAAAATTTGCCAAGTTTGTTGTGAAGATTGAATCATTCATACAAATACTAAACAAACAAAAGAAAAACCTTTTAAATCACGAGTTTCTATTTTTACCATTATTCACTACCGTTTAATATACTCATTATCAGTAAGACGTCGTTAATGGGTTTCAAAAATTAAATTCTTTACCTGCTCGAAATAGGTTGTGTGTATTGGGCTGTATTGCGTTGCCTCGCACTGCTTCAAGTCTTTTATTAAGTTAAGCGCAGTTACAAATTTAAAAAATCACTCTCAAAGTGATACCATTCCTTGTCCATCTGCTTAAAATTTCACGGGTTCTAAGCTGTCTTTTTTTAATAAACTCATTGCTTGCTGTCAGCCTTTTTTTTGAATATAAAATTAAATCTCAAGTAAATCCGTATGAGAGTAAAATCCCTTTTATTGAATATTATTATACGTTATTATTAACACATTATAATTTTTTTTTGTATTGTTTAGCATCCTATAATGTCGTTAAAAATCCTTTATAGCCATGGATAATTACGGCACTGAATGCACAATTTTTATATTCTAAAAAAACTTTCTATGTATTCAAATTAGAACTACTAATTTTTTTCATTAGTTTAGTTTTACTGGTCTTTTACACTTAATGCATCTACTTTTATCACTCTACTTCATTTCCACTTTTATCATTATATTTGAGTTGCGTTTGAGTTAATTTTAAAATTATCACAAAAATTGAAAGTCATGGGTCATTTTTTGTAGAAAACAAATGTTTAAAATTATTCTAATAAATACCTAAAACTTAAAAATGATTTAAAACTTGAATTATCATAACGTCTTAACGAGACAAATCGAACAATATAAAAAAAACTTTATTTTTTTAATTTAAACTTTCATATTATTTAATTTTTAAAAAATACTTTCTTTATCCG